ACCCAGCTACCCGCGCTACCAGATGATCGGCGATGACCACGAGGGCATCTACTCGCTGGAGGTGCAGCGCGCCACGCTGGAGGACGACGCCGTGTTCCAGTGTCAGGTCGGCTCGGCCGCCGGTCAGCAGGGCATCAGGTGAGGGAGCCCCGGCTGACCAGCACAGATCCAAGGCCCGCCGGCCAGCAGGGCATCAGGTAAGGGAGCCCCAGCCGGCCAGCACAGACCCGAGGCCCGTCGGCCAGCAGGGTATCAGGTGAGATGGTCCCGCCGGCCAGCACAGACTCGAGGCCCGTCGGCCAGCAGGGCATCAGGTTGGAAGGCCCCGCCGGCCAGCACAGACCCGAGGCCGGTCGGCCAGCAGGGCATCAGGTGAGATGGCCCAGCCGGCCAGCACAGACTCGAGGCCCGTCGGCCAGCAGGGCATCAGGTTGGAAGGCCCCGCCGGCCAGCACAGACCCGAGGCCGGTCGGCCAGCAGGGCATCAGGCGAGAAGGCCCCGTGGGCCAGCACAGACCTGAGGCCGGGCTTTGCCATGCGACCGGAATTATTGCTTGTCTGTAGTTACGATTTTACATGCAGAGCGTGGATGGTTGAATGGCCGTAATTTAGGTATTAACTGCGTCGCGTGGCGAATTGTGTCCGTACTGTGACTGAGGATGGGTGCAGGCTATTTTTGGGTCGCTCTGGCCAAGATATTCGCTGCCTTCCGTGTCGTGTTTGTGATTGGTGTGAGTATAGTTGACCAAACAAAAAACGGAAACCTTGTAGAACTTTTCAAGCAGGGGCCTAAAATATAGCACTCAGTTCTTTTCAGTGCATTTTTTCATGATGTCCATTCTGTTCGATTATTTCTTTTGAACTGCTTTGCGATAATCACACGCTCACGTTTGCGGTAATTACACGGCACGTTTCTCACGATTTTTTCTCCCGCTTTGTTGAACATGAGCCTCAGTTATACGCTTAATCGTATCACTTAACATTGGTGGTGCTAAGGCTGGTCATTTTCGTAATAGCTTGAAGGAGCGATGTAAGCAAGGATTTGTTCCTTTTTGTCGTGTCTTTAGTTGTAGCCGTTCGTCGGACGGGCACTGAACATTGGCCAGGTTAAAACATAGTCTGTGATGAATGTCTTGAATGAGGGATACACGCAAGGGTTTGTTGCAATTATTCGTTTCCTCAACGTTGGTAGACGGGGGTACAGTTTTCTCACCATTTGGGTGTGGATATCTCTCAATTCAGCCTAGTTCCCCCAACCTAAAGGCCAGCTCTTCTAAACGCGTGTATGAACCACATTAAATGTGGTGAAATCCAGTTCTGAATCTGATGTTTTCGTTGGCCAGTCGACTGGGCCATCGATGTGATGTACCGAGAACATGCCCCTTTTGGCAATCTTCTGCCAGCTGATTTAATTCTCCGCCCCGGTCGTTCGGTAACTGCGCATCATTGTTCACCTTAATGGACGACATCCACTATCGTGTCTGTGCGGCGCTGCGCCTTCGCATAAGGTACTGCCATTCTGCACGGTTTCCTTCGACGTCGCGGTCTGAGTGGCGTCATTTCGCCTTTCTGTCCGTCCCTATGTAATATGCTAGCAATTATCGATTATGATTATCGAAAGGCCATTTAAATACGATAAAATCGTTATCTCACCGTTCGCCGCCAGAATTGGAAATCGTGAATTCCCCGGAGTCCGTTGTGCCTAAGGCTGGTGCTAACCCAGGTCTAGCGATGCTGAAGGCGAGGATTCTTAATCCGATTCCTTGGTGCTCAACATACGAGCGTAGTTTGCCTACAAAACTTGTTGCGCCTAAGGCTGTGGTCTTTTTCAAAACCGTGATGTCCAAGCTCGTGTTATTCCGTCTTGACATGCACTTTTAAGATCTTGCCATCTCTGCGCATCGTCACACTGCTCCTCAGGTCCTGTATCATGCTCCTTGAGCCGAATAGTAATTTTCCCACGGTTCTCGTGGCGCTCGTGACCGTAACCTTACTTCAGGTTTCCGTTCTCAAAAGGTCACCACTGTCCCGCAGGTCCAGTGATGATCACAATCGTGACTCCCCTCGTGTCCTGTCGTACGTGCGATCACGATCCGCCAGCGGCAGCAGGTTCCGTGACGCCGTGATCGTGGTCCTGCGGCAGGTCCCGTGACGCGCGCCTGACGATCCTGGTGCCGCCGGAGCCGCCGCGGGTGATCCAGGGGGACCAGGTGACGACCGCGGCCGGCCTGGAGGTCCGGCTCCAGTGCGAGAGTCGCGGCGGCCGTCCCCCGGCCGAGGTCAGTACCGCACCGCTCGCTCGACCTGCTCAGGTTACCGTCACTCCCACGGAATGTCGAGACGTTTTTGGCACCTGCCCGGTACGTGGCAGGCGCCGCGAGGTTGGCTCCCTGTGGTGGTATGCCGAGTTGACGTGCGGGGAAATACTCTTGGTCACGAGTGGGCGGTGTTGTGGACTCGATGGCGCGTGGAGGACCCTTCAGAGTTAACTGGCGCAGCGCCGATACAAGTTGGGAACGCTGCCGTTGTTGTTGAACACTAAACTTGAAGAGCGGGATTATGGTCTGCTGAATGCCTGGGCTCTGAATCAAAACGCCTCTACTCCACTCAGCCATTCGAGCTGAAAGCTCCGGGCTCCACTGCGCCGCGCCGCCACAGAAACCCATCGCCTTTACAGCGATCAGCAGCACCTAAAGCCGCCATCCGTCGCCCCCCTCCCCCCCCCCCCCCTCCCCCAGCCCCGCCCCCGTCACCCGGCGACTCTGTATCCCGGACATGCCGCTGAAAGAGAAGGGAAGGTCGTGGGGTGTTGAACTCATGGACAGGCCAAACGCCTGCATAAAAATCGGAGCCAATTTGTCGCGACTCTGAAGGTGCGTTTGCTGGCCCCACCCTGCGAGTTTCTCGACGTTTCGCGGCTCTGCATCCTGTCAGCCGTCATTACCGCGGCCAAAGGTCATCTGCGTTTCCATCGCCGAACGCGAATAGGCTATAACCTGGACACCATTTACCGGCTTCAATTCTCTTCCACGGCACTGGCGAACATAACTCGCCGGGTCACGCGAGGTGAAAGCCAAGGTGATGCCCGAACTGGCCGCGTGAAGTGACGTCACACAAGCCCAGGTGGGCGAGTGGGAGGGTGTCCTTCACGTGCTGAGTTCGAGGCGTTGAAGAGATGTTTACATTCTACTGTGAAAATCGATGTGGTTGCGTGCGACTAGAGTGATGTTTTATGTTATCGCTCAACAGTTTTCGCCGGCATATGCAATGTTAACTGAGTCGGACTTGATCGTACGTTTTCCGTTGCTCCCCTCGGTTTCCAATCTAATAAAAATGGTTGAAATTATCACGATTTAGTGAAGTGTGAGATTATACGGATATTAAGCCAATTGTCGTTTGCTTAGAGCATGTTATTATCGTTCATTTGTAACTCGCAAATGATTCACGGACAGTTATCACGTGAACCAACTGTGTCCAGATCAAATGCTGCTTCCTGCCCATGTCGTATGTTCCCTCAGACCCCAGTAGGTTGGTAACCCCCTCCTCCCCAGACTGAGTGGTACCACACCCCTCCAAAGGCTGCCCAGGCTGCATAATAGCCCGCCCCCAGGCCACGTGGTAACCCCCCCCCCCCCCCCACCTCTCCCCAGATCGAGTGGTACCGCGGCGACGGCGCGATCCTCGAGAACGGCACCTCCACCGAGTCGGCGCTGATGGCCGACGGCAAGCGGAGTGTGGTGCGCTCCACCCTGGTGCTGACGGCGGCGCCGGCCCACCACGACACGACCGTCACCTGTCGGGCGCACAACGCTGCGCTCACTCGGCCGCAGACGGCCGCCGTCCGGCTGCAGGTCACGTTCCCGCCGGAGGTCAGCGTCAGCGCCGACCGGGCGCGCGCCGCCGAGTTTGATGACGTCACCCTCCACTGCCGCGCCACGGCCAACCCCGGCCAGGTGAGGCGCTGGCGAAGGAGCGGGCGCGAGGCGGGCGCCGGCGTGGAAAATGCTCTTGACTTTGTGGTCGACATTTAGGACGGCTGTCAACAGACTCGTCCCGACTGATTGAAGCCGGCCATTTTCGGCACTAAAGCTCTTAATGCTGAGTGATCAGGCGGCAGCTTACGGCTCTTCTTACTTACGTCGAATTTCTGTTTGATTATGGTCATTGTCTTGTGATTGATGATATGACCGTCCGAATCATTGTGGGAATGTGACGGCCTGTACGCACCGCTCCGGTGTTGGAGCCGTGGTGCAGCTGTCCGGCGTGCTATCCATCCCCTCGGGATAATGAACCCAGCCTAGAGTCACGTGATGTCCACCACCCTCCGTGAGCGGATGAGTGGTGCTGGTGCCCTTGAGCCCGCTTCCACCAGCAGGTAGAAAGGTCAGCCCATGTGGTAATCGGTGGGCGCGGTGGGGCCGCCGTCGCCGCGGCCGGTGCAGGCGCTTACCTGCGGCACGGCCGAGGTAACGGTGCTGGTCTGCCGGCGCTCGTCAGTGGCGGAGGCCCGACTGTGGACAATGGCGCGCGGTGTCGTGTCGGGGCCCGGTCTCCGCCGAGCGAGGCACGGCCGGGCGGGCCGACCCGAGCTGAGCCGAGTCTCGCGCGCCGGCCACCTGCGGCGAGATGGCGACGATTGACGATGGGGCCGTCCGATCCGCGGTTAAGGTCGCCTGCAGGCCGCCCTGACGCCGGCCGCTGACGTCACAGGTTCGGTATCGCTGGTTCGTGAACGGCGAGCCGCTGCCAGGCCAGACCGACAGCTCCACGACGCTGCGCGCCGTCGGCCGTCACCTGGACAACGCCTCCGTGCTCTGTCAGGTCACCAACGCCGCCGGCACGGGCAGCGACGCCACCCAGATAAACGTGTTCTGTGAGTGACTGGCGGCGGCGGGCCGTCCCACGAAATCAGTTGAGGTGCTGGCTGCGGACCTTTGAGCGTCAGTGGCAGTGCGGTGTGGGGCAGCTCCCGGTTGCTGACGGTTTAACACGGTCGGTGCATGCGGCGCCAGGTCAGCCTTGGCTCTGTGTGTCGAGAGCGCTGACTGGTTATCAGTGCGCCTGCTTTTGTGCATGTGTAACCTATGATCACCCGTGCCGCCCCTCGTATTGCCGCCGGATCCAGTCAGACCCGGCTTTCTCGACAGCCGCAGCGAGCAGCAGTGCTGGCCGCCGTGATGCTACCAGGCTTCCTGATGCTCCCCGCCCCCCGTTCATCCTCGAGCTTCATAACTGTCTACCCGCCCATGCCTCGTCGTACCACGCCGCAGCGCTCGGCAAAAACTCGCTTATCTACCCTGCCATGTAACAGATCCAGCCCTTAGCGGCGGCCGCACCGCCTGCACCAAGCCGAGAACTCAGATTAGACGTTAATGTCGTCGGAAAAATGACCGCAACGGCCGATTAATTACCGTCTACGACGCGGACGCGGCCAAAGCATGCCTGCTGCGCCGCTTCGCTGGCGGACAATAAAACAATCCGCCATTGTACGGACTGGGAATGACTGACCCGCGCGCCCCGCGCTGTCCGCAGACGCGCCGCGCTTCCGCACCGAGCCGCGGGACGTGGCCGCGGACGTGGGCCAGGAGGCGACCCTGCTCTGCGACGTGGACGCCAACCCGGCGCCCGAGGTCAGCTGGGTCAGGCGCGAGTGCGACGCCTGTCCGGAGGTGAGTCACCGCGGCGCCGCGAGTCGTGCGGCGGGGAGTCGCAGCTGGAGCGACGGCAGGCGGGCGTTGGGTGCGAAGAGGGTGAATCCTGCGTCCGAGAATGGAAGAGGATTCAGGGAACACGCGACAGGCTCCGCTGAATAAGCACGCTGTGCCTGAAGCCGCCCGTGCTGCTCACTCAGGAAACAGCGCTGTAAAACAGTGGCTAACCGCCAGCGCGACGGCAGCCTTGCGGACCGAGGCGACGTGCTGACTTACCGATGTGGGCGTCGACAGAAGTCTGCCGTGCTTGCATGTTGTCGGCTGGCCGGTCGGAACCTAACGTGGCTTACCCGGCACATGTTTCGAATTCCTTGCAGCGCAGCACCGGCCTCACCGGTGTTGGGGGATGCCTGACATACCGCACGGTCGCGATACGCACCGCTTGGGTATCGAGGCTCCGGTGGATGTCGTGGCAGGAGCCTGTTATGCGCGGGTCTTGCCGGCCTGGGTGGTACAGCTCGCTGATGAACGTCTGCGAGTGGGGTGCGCTGACAGGCGAAAAGCGTCAGTAAACTCCCTCGATTGCAAAAAAAGGTTATTACAAGCCGGCGTACACGTAACTATCACCTTGCGCGGATATTGCGTGCGTCGGACTATTGCACGTGCAGGGGCGCACGCAGCGTGCCAGACGTCCCTCCCCACCACCCTCACTCTTGAAACACCACGCCGGCACCCCATCCCATCCTCCGCTCACAGCCCATCTGCGCGCGCTCCTGCCACCCGCACTGCTCCCTCCCCCGGAGTGCGGTCCTGACGCCGCCTCTGGCGAGCGCGGAATGTCGCCGGTCGGTGCGGGTCACGGGGCTGACCCCACTGGTCGCGGCCGATTGCAGCGGCTGATGGGGGCGCGTCACGCCAGGCCGGGGGCGCGTCACGCCGCGTGAGACGCAAGGTCGGCCGGCGGCCTCCGCCGACGGCTCGAGCCCCAAGCCGAGCCGGCGGCTCAAGCTTGGGGACGCGCTGGTCGGGCCGCCGTCGCGCAGGACCGCAGAGTGCTGGGCTGTCGTGACCAGCGGCTGCCGCGGTTTGAGTGCTGTGACTCACCCGTGCGGCCGGGCAGAGCTGCCTTGGTTTAGAGTGCTTTTTTTATCAGAACGGCCTTGGTTTGATCTGTGCTGACGCGGGTAGAAGGATGTGCAGGACCAGAGCTTGCTTTGGATTGCAACTGTTGTCAGTCAGATATACTCTACGTGGAGCGGTTATGTTTTAACAAGGCTGAGTTAGATGAAGCCGCAGTGACTGCAGCGGAGAGATACCATCCTGAATGCCCGGCAATCTCTCCTAGTTCCCCTTCCAGTCGTTGGACTGGTCCCCATCCAGTTCTGTCGCTGCCAGCCACCGCGATTTGGCGCCTCACGTTGTTGTGATGGCCCGCCTCCCCGGGCGTTACCTCATATACTCTCAGTCTGCATGGCGTGCACCCGGTGGGCCCCTGGCCGTACTCCACGCCGTGCAGGGTTGTAACCGTCAGGTCAGTGACCCCACTCGCGGTCCCAGCTCGTCTGCGCCGCGATGGCCGCCGTCCTGCTCCGCCGCGACACGGCGGCCACGGGTGCACCCCTCGCATGTCGGCCGCAATTACGGGCTACTCTCGGCTGGCAACTGCTCCCATCTCTGGCGAGTGGTCGTTCAATTTTCACACCGGCCGTCGCCGCCACCGCCGCTGCAGCCGGCCGACCGCGCCGGCTCCGGCCCGACGCGCTCGCGGCCGTCACTCGTTTCCGGCATTTACAGAAACACGGCCCGGTCACGGCAGCCCACAAAACATAATGGCGGAACCGGTTCTCGGGATTTGTGTCCCGAGATGAATCGCGCGTACTGCTTGGCGTGCACGTTTTTGCGCGGCGGGATGAGGCCGCGTCGCGACATCCTCTCGCACTCACGACCGGTGCAGTTAGGTCATGACTTCATTTTTAGCAGTGAATGCAAAAACATCAGGTACAGATGGGCGGTACAGCCCCATCTCCTGCCACCCGGCTCCCAGTTTGCATGCAGATTGCGTACGTTACGGGGAATTCATGCGGTTCTCGTTGGCGCCGGTTGGATATATTTCAAGGAGCGGTGTCTCTTATTTTGCAAGCATTCGCGGCGCTGCAGCTCTGCTTGCCGGGCTTGGCTTAGCACAAAGCAGTACTCGACGTGTTTACTCTGGGTGTTCGTCCGGCAAATAGCCGTGCGTCTCAGCAAATAGCAGAGCTTTGAAATGTGAGGAGAGCTCTCAAAATGTTGCGAGAGCGTCTCTAAGTGTCCGGCACCTCAGCATGTTCAACACTACGTACGGTGCCATACACCGTACGTAGAACTGAACGGCCAGAGCGGTCGACTTCCTCTCTGGATTGTGATCCTGGGATCGCGCATTGTCGAGAAGCCAACGCACATATGCGGGCACACAGCGTCCCTCCGCAGTGGGAGAATGAGGCGAGGGAGTCAAGTGGGCAAAGTGATCTTACTCCACTAAAGTATCTCCAGATCACTTCAGATCACTCCAAGGATCGCTCCAGTTAAGTGATTTGGCGTGCATCGACGCGAAACTCACCTCCGACGAGCGGATCTGACCCTGTCGCCTGACCTGCTCCGCGGACACAGTCGTCTTGCGCAGGTGCCTTGACCTGACCCGTGACCTGACCTCCGCCCCGCCTGTCCACAGCCGGTGGGCACCGGCCGCCGCCTGACGCTGGTCGCCTCCGCCGACACGGTTGGCCTCTACGAATGTCGCACCTCGGGCGAGCACCACCCGGCCGTGTCGCGCCAGATTCGCCTCTTCGTGCGCGCGCCGCCGCGCGTCACGGCGCCGCCGACCCAGCGCGGCACTGCCGGCCAGCTGGTGCACCTGGAGTGCAGCGTGGCGAGCGTGCCACCACCCACGGCCGTCACCTGGCTCTTCAACAACCAGCCCGTGCCGCTCGGTCAGTGAGCGGCCGCCGGCGGGACAGGGCCCGGAGCGGTGGGGCGGGGCTGGTTTGGGCGGGCTTGAGGAGGCGTGTGCTGGGGGAGGTGTAAGGCAGTTCATAGAGGTGTGCCACGTCTGTTCGTTTGTTGGAGTCGGGTCAAAAACCACTGCTCACACTCGCCGAGTTGTGGAGAATTGTGAGCGCGCTTGCATGCCGGGAATTTGAACCACCGCCCTGACATGAGGAGGTTAACAGCGTTGTCCTGCGGTGTCCCCTTTCCTCAGTGTAACATTCGCGGTGGGGAGAGGCCGAACCACCGCTGACGCGGTGGTAACCTTACTTCCTCACGACTGCGCAGACGCCGGCCACTGCGCCGTGGTGGAGGAGGTCGTCGTGGGCGGCATCCGCAGCTTGCTCGTGATCCCCGACGCCCGTGAGGAGGACTTTGGCCTGTACAACTGCTCCGTCACCAACACCTACGGCACGGACTCGGCGCTCGTCATCCTGGAGAAGCAGCGTGAGTACCAGCGGGTGGCCGGTGGTGCTCACGAGCGGCGGATGACGCTCTGCTACTGCCCGGTGGGAGCGGGACGGACCCGGCGTCCGCCACCTGCCAGACAACGCTGGTATCCAAGGTAGCGAACTCGGCAATTTAGACTGGGACGTATGTTTTTACGAAGGCTCAAGACCAGACGTGACGTGGACATCAATCATCTGTCTGTGGTTTTGGTCGGACTTTGATAGGTATGATCGGTCACGGGCTAAACGCGGCTTAAACCTCACATATCGCGCAAGCAGCGAACATTCATCACACACAATTGGGTGGCGAAGAACTTGCGCACAGATCTGTCGACAGGGGTACATACAGGAAACAAACGCATCGAACGCTGTATACGGGATGTCAGTCATTCTTGATCGTCGGTGGCGGGTTAGATGACGGAAAGTGCCAGGGTGCGGAGCAGGCACATGCCGGTTGGCTGCGGCTGCTGGGCGGGCTGAGTCGGTCAACAAGGACTCGTGTCGCCGCAATGCACGGGTGCCCCATTGCAACTGAAAGCGAATTCGTTTTTTCCGTTATCTCGCAGGCTTGTGCATTGCATGGAACTTACCTGTCCGCTGACACAACGACCGCGTACTTTCGGTAAATTCCAGCAAAAATATTGTTGGTTGGCACGAGCGACAGGCTCGGCCTTGAGCTACGAAGGTGTGCGGTGGCGATGGGCTCATTTTCACCCTGGTGAGTGGGCAGGCACCCGGGTGGGCAGGGGAGGCTACTTCCCATCGGTGCCGTGGAATCCCGACCCTTGCTCTATCGCTGTCCGATCACTTAGTTCGGCGGCGTCGAAGCAGCCATGTCCCACCTCGAGCGGCCGTATGGGCGCCACCCAGCAGCGAGGCAGGCCTGCTGTCGCTGCAATCGCAACAGGAGCTTTGCTGGGTGGCTTTGACGTTTACTGCTGTTCTCTGGACCTAATGCTGGGAGATCAGCGCCGATAAAAACACGCGCTTTAGTCCGGTTTACGTTTGAATGCTACTATGGGTTTCATTTGTTGTAAATCCAGCGTGCTGTAAAATGTCTGCGTGCGTGTCATTTGTTACACGTGTTTGCGAACCGCAGGAGGCACGAATATTTGACGTGGTTTGCTGCTGAGCATGTTGACTGACCTTTGATCCAGTACATAGGGCATATCTTCCACTCTACTCGCCAAACGTCGTCATACATTCATTGTAAAATGGTCGTAATCCTTAACGCCAGTTTCATCGTCATCACACTTGTTTGGAGGACGTCGTACTTATTTGATTATTTTTTGGAAGTAACCATCATTGCATGCAGCCCGAAATACTACCAATATGCGTTGTTTTATGCTGTGGGGATATTTTGTAAAAGTTGACCAGAACCTTTTGAATAGATGGATATGGATTTATGAGCTCAGAGCTTTCGCTAAGCATTGCTTGTTGTGAGCTCTGACACCCACCATCCAATCGCGCAATTCCAGGTCAACGGCAGCATTTGATGGCAAAAGTTAAATATACCGCAATGCTCGGCCCGGTACGCCGTGCCCTCTGATGTCGCCTGACCTTTAGTGCAGCTGCTGCCACCGGCCGCAGGCTATATCTGTCGAGGGCAAATAGCGAGCGCCTGAGGCGTCCCCCGCGCCACGGGTGATCAGGTGATCTCTAACCAACTGAGCCACCGGGACGTTCCAGATATGACATATTGTGTTTCACTTTTTCACCAACTCCACTTCATTTGCTTATGCCGATTGAGAGACAGTGGTGAACAATTGGTTTGATTTCGGTGTCCGAATATTTAAAAAAATCGATACTCAAATGCATTTATATAATCCGTGACACCTATACATATGTTTCCAACTGTTTGCGGATTGAAAGAAGAGCAGCAAGAGGCGTCGATATTAGTAGTGAAAATTATGAGTGTGAAATATGTTAGATACTGTTCTTGAGGGTGAACACATACATTTTGCGGCAATTCGTAGAATTGGTGCTTGATGTAAGTAGGGCGAGTGTTTACCTCTTCGTTTTTACTTACCTTTACCTTCTTCGTTTTTCCTCATCATAGGTTGGGAGTTATTTAGTTGAAAATATCGAAGCTTCAGCGCACCAGGAGGTAGTAGTTGGACAACCTTGTCAAGCAAGAGTTGTTTTTATTGAGAAATTTCGACGTTCCAAATCTGTGGTCATAATCACTCGGGACCATAAGCACAAGCATGCCATCAATCATACCATAGCCAGTGAATGCTTGATAACGTCGGTTAGCCAGTATCTTCTGGTTTATGGAAGGCCGATTATTTTCCACAGAGAAACTCACAATTTATGACGACGAACATCCAGAGCTCAAAGCCCTGCTTGCTTATATCACGATTAATGGTGTACATTGCGGTGTAGGACTACCGTCGTAATTTTACGGTGCGATGATCCCAAGCTTACACATATGACGGTATTTAAATTATCCTGAGAAAAGATTTGATGGAAATCTGAATTCAGAAGTAAAAAAGATAAGCTCTTTCTATGAATAGTATCATAAGGTTGGAAAATGTTTCGTTTTGTAACTCATAGCGTAGGGTTGTTAATGTTTTCGTTGAACTCATGCTTCTGCATCCTAAGCAAATTTGTGTAAATCCACCTTGTGAATGTGCTGCTGTTGAAGCTCAAAATGCCTGCTCCTTGTTTTTGGCTATTTTTCTGTGAGAGTTTGAGTATTTCGCAACATCCGAATAGCTATCTCTGAGCTTCAACTTCCACCCAATCCGAATTTGCCATCACATTTTGGAATGAGTCGAAGTTAAATGCTTGACTGCAGACGCAGTGGTACTACAAGGCATACTTGCGCCCGTTCAAACCTTGCAGCACTCAGCGTCGTCTGGTTACAGTTGTATGCACCACAATGGAGTGATAGAAAATGGATGCAAGCTGCCGACCGAATGTGGTGACATGAGTCTATGTTGGATTGCAAAGGTGGCCGCGCCGCCATAGCGCCGTAAATGGCGACCAAACCGGTTCATCCATGGCCTGCGTGATTCCGTTCTGAATCCCCCCCCCCCCAAAAAAAAAAACTAGCCGGTTGGTGCACGCAGACAACGGATTAGTCCTTAAGGCCTCGCTGGTTGGCTAAAGCGCAGATGTTACCACAGCGCCCCCGTCGGGTCTGTTATTTTTGGCGTGAATGGGCGCCATGGGCACCATCCTGGGATGCTCTTCAGTGACCAGATGTCATCACGAGCATCACGTCTTCTCACTAGCGGAGGCACATGTTTTTCCTCGCAGCGGAAGGGCGAAGAGCAGATTTCCCCAAATTATACGAGTTTTCATAGACCAGTTTTGCCAACATTGGGATTTTCTATAAATGCATGTAGGCCGAGACAAATGTGGAGAGGGTGGCATGGCCTCTCAAGAGAGATATATCTTGCTTGCATGTTTGAAGGTTCAGCCCAGTGTCGAGGTTTTGCGCAGGTGACGACACGAACCATATCTTTCAGGAGAGCTTCCGCTGCTCGTCATCCTGACCATCGTGATTGGGGGCATCATCGTCATCACCACCATCATCCTGGTGATCATCATGTGCCAGCGTCATCGCCGCCGTGCTAAGGACGTGCCGACAGGTCGGTGTGTGCTTCAGCCAGCGTTACCGTCAAGTCGACGGGCCGCATTTTTCGTTGCCATCTTTGTAGTTGCAATTGCCATTTTTAAATACGTTTTTCATGGCATTAAGCATTCGTGCACGTTGATTCGGGTCGATGCTTCACCTACACGTCACTGAGAAGGATTATTCGTGTCTATCAGAGCAGGGCTTACGCATGTATGTGGTCGGATTACCTATGCTCTGGCCTCGATTCACGGTACGAGCCTGTTTTCCATGTACACTGGGTGATAGTTGAGCGTCGGCGACCGGTTACATTCACAGAAAGGTTATTCCTTTCAAGGAACTGTTAATGGCAGGACCTTGATAATCGTTTGCTTACAATTGCAAACAAACGTCATGTCACTGAGGCGGTTGTTTTGATATGGCGCCTTGGGTCTTAGAGACGCCCGAGGTGATCACTGATTGGACGTAACGCGATTTATGGCGAGAGGGATTTCCGTCTTTATCCTGGGCAGAATAGATTCAGTGAGATAAGTCTGTGGATCACACGGTATTACAATGGTTTACAAGGTGGTTTTTCATGTTCTGATTTAGAAGATGTCAGTTGTTTTGACGACAGCTTTGTCGATGGCCCCACCACGCGAATCTGTTGTGACGTTGGCATTGTTCAGTGATGACCAAAAATGATATGTTACTTAGTGATCTGTGCGACAGCTTAGCTTTACAGTGTCCTGAAGGACGGGCTGAACTTTCGATGTCTGATGGTCACATCGCATTTTTGCTCTGTCTCCATCGTGCTGGGACGTTCCGGCGCTCGCGGCTCGTCCTGACCCCTCCACCCCGCCCGCAGAGCCAGTGGTGTTTGACAAGACGGTCAAGCCAACGGCGGACGCCAATTCATCGGGCTCCGACCTCAAGGTCGAGATCCGCACGTCGTCGTCGGGATCGGGTCAAGTAATCACGGACCGCTGGGACGGCGCCCACTACCCCGGCCACCGCGCCCTCTACGAGCAGCACAGCGACGAGCGTGCCTTCCCGCCCTTCGACAAGGTGCGGTCGAGCCCTACGCGGCCATTTGACACGCCGCTGGTGGCGGTGGAATGATTAGCTGTTGGCGTGCCGTGCGGACGGGCCTGGTCGCGTTACTGCCATGCGGCCGAATAATTGTTTTTTTGTGCTGAGCTTACAAGTGAACGGACAGACACGCTGCACTTGTGATGGCGGTGTGCTTGACAAAGAGGCATTTGCTTTAAAACTGCTGATGCGGATCTAAGCGCTTGCTTGTCCAGCTGCCGGCATTGAGAAGTTTGTCCCTGAACTTCAGGATCGCGCTGCAGGGTAGCACGTTCAGTACGGTTCAACTGCTGTCCCAAAATCGGGATATTCGCGTATCCCGCTGTGACGTAAACAATGCTTTACCTCACTGTATTCACACGCTTCTTCTTTCACAGGAGGCGATGCCGCAGAACGGCACGGGAATGTACCCTCCCTACGACCAGAATGGCTACCTGCACAAGCCGGGCGGCCAGCAGCGCATGCTGCACGCGAGCACGCCAATTGAGTTCGGCGCCCGCCCTCCGGCTGACAGCCCGTCGCACAGCCAGCACTACTACGCCCACGAGAGCGTGGCACCGCCGCCGCAGCCGACCTACTACCCGCAGGAGACGAGTCTGTGCCGCGGCCAGCCGGCGTACTACGCGGCCCAGGCGGGCGCCGGGCAGCCGGGATACCCGGCGCCCGAGGCGGCGCCGTCGCCGGGCTTGGCCCACCGACCCAGCTACTACTCCCAGGACGTGAGCGACACCTCGAGCGCCTCACAGAGGCTGAGCGGCGCGCCGTACGACGAGACGGTCGGCAGCGCCCCTGGCGGCCGTACCGGGTACTACGCGGCCGACGACGCCGCCGGCCGCCTGGCGCTGCGGCCGCCAGACGGCACTGCGGATGCGGTGGACGCCGCCGCGGCGTACGGCCGCGGCCCGGTCGGCAGCCTGGGGCGGGGCCGGGCGCACGTGGACCGGTACGCAGACCCACCGCGACCCTCCTACGCCCAGGACGTGCAGATGAAACCGGGGACCATGGCGACGCCCGTGTGACGCAGGTTGTGAGTGCAGGGGGGAGGGGCGCGTTCATCGGGACTGATGTGAGGGGACGAGAGCAGGTGGGTGGCACACTGTGCTCTGGTGTCGCTTGCAGAGGCGCCTGAGGCGTGACGCTGAGACCGCAGTTACTGCCGTGTGATATCAGGTGAGGTAGAGGTGCCCTGGTGTAAGTGTAAGTACATCAGAGTCGTGTAGACTGACGGCGGGATGTCACTGCTGACATCCGTGTCGCGTCATGTGTCCCAGATATAACATACCGGACTGCTGCTACTGCGCGTGTCACACCCGATCAATCCCAGAACGAGCAGTTTGCAATGAACCGGATCGCTAAACCTGCGTCAGAGGCTTATACCGTGCGTTGCCACCATCGTGCTTGGATGCATCAGCGCGCTTTGGATGAATGATTTGTTGGCTGTCTGTTCTGTTGTTGGTGCGCAGGTCAACATTCGTTACTATGACCCCGCGCATGCCAGGCAGACTGCCCCAGTGTACCCGTCCCATCCGCGGAGCCTTGCTCAGCGTCTGCTGATGCTAGGGCAGACGATCGTTTATGTTGTTCGGCCTCGTTTTTCGTGGCGTTCGGTGTTCTGTGCTCCGGGTCGGCGCTCAGTCAGCCTCGCGGCGTGCTGCCGGCGGAGGGCAATAGCTGAGGCCAGAGGCGTGGAGTGGCGCCTCTGCCGCCGGTCGAAGGGGGACGTTTTGTATCGCTGAACATGTGACTGTGATAACCTGTAAATACATTGCTAGGTGCCTTCGTTGTTTCGTGTGGACCCGGGCTGCATGAATGTGTCGTTTGTGGTGTGAGCTATGCGCACGCCGTGGCGTTCGGCGAACGGGTCAGGTCTAAGGGGACAGCGCAGTTGAGTGACTGGCATTCAGTGCGCCGTACCAACTCAGCAACGGTTTTTAAAACTTTAAATAATGGTACTAATCAAAGCACTCTGGGATTTGTCCCCGAGAAAAACACAGGACGAGTTGTAAAATATGGGTGTTCGTTATTAAAGATGTCAGCCGGGCTAATTCAATCAGTACCTCACCTGGGTTTGGGCTACGTGCTAGGGGTGAAGTGGCCAATAACACATTTCCACTACAGGATTCTCGCGCTGTCTTTTTGAAAGATATGCTAAAACAACAGGAATATACGACACAGCATGCAGATAGTGTGCCTATACTCCAAGAACACATGGCTTCAGTTCGCTTTGAGTTGTCAGTTGCGCGTACCATGAACTGAAGCGCACTGTGCCAACAAATACTAGCACGCAAGGATATATTGAGCCGAAGAGAATTCTTGGCTCCCGAAACCACGAGCTTCGCGGGCACGCTCAGCAAACCACGACGCTTTCCATCTGGGATCTAGAGACGGTCTGAGTGCTTCACTTACAATCCAGCTGAAGCTTTTTGGCGGCGTCACCACCGCCCTTCGACGGATGGAAGTGGATGACTGCGTTAGACGACGTAGGCCTTCACCGGCCCACACGACGTCCCCGCGGCGGAGCTGAATGCCATTAGCAGCGCTCACGATTACACGGTCCGAATAAGCCAGTCCGAGACGTGTCAAACGGGGTCTGCAGCGACTGCCCGCCCCTGCTAACTAGGTCAAGTTCACCGGCGCGGGTCCGCCGGGGCGCCGGCGCTGCAGCAGGTCACGGTCGCACAGCCCGCTCTGCCGGACCGTCTGTTAGGGGGTCGGTCCCACAGCGGTGCCGCCAGTGACGTGCAGCGCTGGTGTTTTATTGCGTAATGGGGACTCCTATGTCTGTTAGGGTTGTTGCTCGGGGAGCTGGCCAACGCGCCAACTTTCTTCGTGGTTTGTCAAAAGTCTGACCAGTTCAGTGCAGAAATACGTGCTTAAATATATAGGTGTTTTGTCCCATATTCCAACTGCTTGCTGACAATTAAGTTATTCTACCCTGGGTTCTACCCTGGATCGCACATGAATTTAAATAAAACATAACGCGCTCACAGCCTACCACGATTTTCACAAAGCACGTTAAACGTTTTACCCTTTTCAATTCATAAATGTTAAGCACGATCTTATATCGTGTGAGAATGAATGTCAGTACTGTAAAGGAGCCACTGACTTCAGAGTTGTTCGTAGGATGGCCACGGCGGACAGCCCTGGCCAAGCCTTGTGCTACAAAACGGAATCTCACGTAGGGCGGTGGGGGTGAGGGGTGCGCTGCCGTCAGATTTCCGTCCCATTTTTTGTATTTCTGTTTTGAACATATGTTCTGGTTCCGTGGTCACGGCCACAGAATCAGAGTCGTTCGTATGCCCATCCCATGACCGGGACTTACGGAGTGGATATCACAGCGCGCAGCTGGTGCCCAGTGTCCACCACGTTCTGGTTCGCGACCCATCGCTGACATCACTGCTCTCGCTGTCCACCGATCAGGCATTACAGGTCGTGCGGCCAAAACCGCAAGTACATCCTGAAATATGTCATCGACAGCGAAGGCAGGAGTGACACCCGCCTGTACATGTCCATGACTAACGAGCTAAGACTCGGCCACGATGACTAAAAGCAATGTGGTGAGTTTTGGCCCTTTGGTAATTGATGTGAGGATATTCCTCCTTCGTTACATGCAACACTTTTGGATAGAATTGCGCCGTATGTATTAACGGTGAGCGGTGCAGTACTCAATGGACTCGCCTGGCGGCCCGTGGCCAAGATCCAGTTCGAGCATGAGCGTTGAGGTCACGTGACACGCATCCCTGGCTGAGTTTGTGATCGAGTGCGTGGATTGTGCCACTCCGTGCACGCTCCTTATCACTCCATACGCTAAGCTTGCGAGGAATAACTCCACCCGTGGGGCTGCTAAGCAAGATCTCCAGCAGCTGAGCTGCTGAGAAGCACCCAGCCGGTGGACTAACGATCACACATCCTGAACTGCTGCGCCGCTGAGACGCATCCCGGGCTGCTGGCTGCTGGGCTGCTGAGACGCATCACGAGCTGCTGAGACTCATCCTGAGCTGCTGGCTGCTGAGCTGCTGAGACACATCCCAAGCTGCTGAGACGCATCCCGAGCTGCTGAGACTCATCCCGAGCTGCTGGTTGCTGAGCTGCTGAGACACATCCCGAGCTGCTGTAGTACAATCTGCTGAACAGCTGTGCCAAACCCACGGTAGCTACACTTTTGCGCCAGCCCCCCGGCCTCACAAATCCGCGGCCTCCCAGCTTCCCAGCTTCCCAGCTGCCCAGCCTCTCAGGTTACCAGCCTCCCAGTCTTCCAGCCTGCCAGCCTGCCAGCCTGCCAGCCTGCCAGCCGCGCCGCCGCCTCGGCCGCCGTCTCAACCCCTGTAGCCGATCTGGTTCCGCACCCAGTCGACGTACGAGGCCACGTTGACGTAGACGCCGGGCCGGTTGGCCTCAGCGCAGCCGACGCCCCAGGCCACCAGGCCGGCCACGGTCCAGCGGCCGGAGCCGTCGTCGCAGACCAGCGGTGCCCCGCCGTCGCCCTCGCACGAGTCCTTGCCCTCCTCGCCGCCGGCGCAGATGAAGGCGCGCGAGTCCAACCGGAAGTCGCCGCCGAGCCGCGTCTGGCGCAGCTGGTACTGACACGTGTCCTGCGGCACGACCGGCACGTCCACCTCCTTCTGAATGTAGCTGTACTGGCCCTGCGCGCCGAACGCGTCCTTGCCGAAGCCGGCCACCCAGCAGCGCTGATAGTCAAAGCTCTGGCCGGCGGCTGGCAGACAGGCGGTGTTGACGTGCGGCAGGCTCTGCAGGTAGAGCGGCTGTGAGAGCCGCAGCAGCGCCACGTCCTGCTGCAGGTTGCCGGAGTTGAAGTACGGGTGCACGATCATCTGCGAGACGGTGCGCTCCTCGTGCGCGCACGGCTCGTGCTTCGGGTCGCTGGCGTCCCACTCACCGAAGCGGATCTGCCGGGTGGAGGACAGTCAGTGGCCGCCAGTCTGGTCATAGGCAAGTGATTTGACTTTCGAGAACAAAACACGCAAACGGTTGCTGCAGTTCTGATCACACGCGAAATTTGTATGGAGACATGTCATGGATTTAAAGGCATATAACGCAGATTAGATTCGCACATTTGTGTTGAAGTGCGACTCAGCACTGCTGGTATAAACCATTTTCACTCACCTGATCACTTTCAGAATACATTGCTACTTCCGATGGACGGAACCTACACACACAGCAACAAAAACAAGACAAGTTAAGGAAAAACCATGCACACTCGACATACACTACACTGCATACCTGGACATGTAAGAAAAGCCCCAATACATCCGAGCGGCCCGTACCTTGAGCCTAGAGTAGTCATTCTTGTACTTGTTGACGTGGTGGGCCACCGTCAGCACCCACTGGCTATCGATGAGCACGCCCGAACTGACGTAGGCGTCGCCCTCGCGCAGAATGGTCGCCACCCACGGATAGGCGCCGAAGTGCGCCTCGGCCGGCTGCTTGTTGTAGCCGGGCACCGGGATGGAGGTGCGCCGGCCGCACTGGCGTGCGGACGCCGCCGGGCACGCCGAGTACGTGGGCTGTGGCTGCACGGGGTACACGCCGCTGCCACCGCCGCCGCCGCCCGAGGCGGGAGGGCAGCACAGCTCCTGGTACTGGCTGGCGCACTGCAGCTGGTTGTTGACAACCGTCTGCGAAGCGGACGAGGACGCCGGTTAGGGCGCTCAGGGTTGAGTGGACTAGAGTGGAGTGAGTGGACGGTGTGGAGTGAGTGTGTGGACTAGAGTGGAGTGGGTGAGGGGACTAGAGTGGAGTGGGTGAACCGTGTTGAGTGGGTGAGGGGACTTGAGTGGAGTGGGTGGACCGTGTGGAGTGGGTGAGGGGACTAGAGTGGAGTGGGTGGACCGTGGGGAGTGGGTGAGTGGACTAGAGTGGAGTGGGTGGACCGTGTGAGGTGGGTGAGGGGGCTAGAGTGGAGTGGGTGGACCGTGTGGAGTGGGTGAGTGGACTAGAGTGGAGTGGGTGAGTGGACTAGAGTGGAGTGGGTGGACCGTGTGGAGTGGGTGAGTGGACTTAAGTGGAGTCGTGTACACAGCCGCTCGGGCCGCGCAGTGAGTGATGTGACGGTATTGGTTGTAGGATGAAAGTCACAGCACAACATGAATCAAGAGAAATCATCCGGTCGGTCGGGTCAGCCGGGAGAAAACATCGGGAGGGTCGGATAAAAAACAACGACCGGTTAAAGCCCGCGGTATGCGGGATAAAACGAAAGCTGCCTTAGCTGTCTGTTTTCCCGCTAGCAGGCCAGTACATGACAACGACCGGCCAACAGAGCGACTGGGAGCGCACTTACGGGCCTGGTGTTGACGATACGGATGTCCAGCAGACCAGAGCCGTCGAAGTTGTCGTTGTGCGGACACTGGTGGATATCGGAGCAGTAGCAGCTGTCGCGTCTTGGATTACGCCCCTCTGACTGCCCACCGGTGTAGACTGGCGAAACGTGAAACATTCAGCGGTCAGCATGCAGAACTGCACTGTCCTACACGTGGCAACAAACCATCGATGTATGCACTTTTAGAGGACTAATGGCATCTGAGAGCTCATTTAAGTCGTCATCACCCGTACCTAGATCACATGGGACATCCGCTACCATTGCACACAATCTCAAGACCCATCCATTTGCTGGGCCGGCGGGACCTCCAGACTGACCGTTGTTCCCCTGCTGGAGGTTCTGGCTGGCGCCACTCTGGTATGTGGTCGGCTGGTTTGTCTGTGGCTTCGTGTTGACGATGCGAGACGGGTAGTCGGAGCCGGGCACCGGGTCTAGGTTGCCCAGCTGACCGCCCACCAGGCCTATGCGCGGCACAGCGTCGCCCTCCAGCGACGACGGCTGGAACCTCCGCCTCGTGGCCTGCCGCTGGCCGCCGAAGGTCACGCGCTGCGGTGAGGCAGCGGCCAGCAGACCAGCGAGCACCAGCCAGCGCAGCATCTGAGGACGGCGTGCTGGCTCAGTGGCGATTGTAGCAGGTAGGTGCTGCAGACCAGGGCAGCGGCGCTGCTGGGAATACTACCTCGGACGGATGTAACAGCGGCGTGAACGCAACGCTGCAGCAAACAAGCGGGCGGACAACAGCTGGCTCAAGCGCAACTTCTAATTCGTGAGCAAAGCATAGCTACGAGTGGCAGCACGGTGCGACCAGTACACTCGGCAATATTTCAAAACCTATGGGGCGCATGACAATTGACGGCACTCGCAAATTCTGCACGCCGTTCCGGGAATTCAAAATTGCCGGAGCGAAGAAGCTGGCTACCTTTGTCATATCCGCCTGCTTATTCCTATTTTTACGATGACGGGAGGAGAAAACGTTTGTCAATAAGTGAAAAAGTATTTGTGTTAGTCTCATTTTCATGCGAGGGTGTGAACTGGGACGAGCAATGTGTTTTTAGCTTTAAACCGGCAGCAGTCTTACCCCTGGGTGCTTTCATGAAACTTTCAGTCAAACCGCTTTTTGAAATCCGAGCTCCTTGCATCATCCAGAGGCCCACTTCAGGATTTATTTTTGAGTGACGTGTTTGTAGGACTGTTTGAGGTGACTGTCTGCTTATCATGCTTTTACTAAACCAGCCCGGCTGGGCAAGCCCTCGCCCCGATTCGCCGTTTTTCATAACGCGGACTGTAGTCAACGCGGATCAGGTGGACGTGCCCATGTCGTTTAAAAGCTTAATAAGGTTGAGCCTAGCAGAAAAATAGCGCGGTGAAATAGTGTAATGCAATAGTGTAGTAAAATGGTGCAGTTTAATCTCCTCGAGATCTCGTGATTTGTAGTAAGTTGTTTGTTGCTAGGTCAGTCACTGGTTGGCCCCACTATGCCAAGCTAAAGGCAAAATTTTCTTGAAAATAGAAATTTCTCAATTTCACAAAGTTATCTGTACAAGACCACGCCACGTAGCGAAACACAACCTAAACAGGCGTGTCTCATGTTTGGGTGTGAGCACAATGCCCTAAGTCGGGTCGGTAAATAGTTTTATATGTTTTGAGCACAGGTGATCTGTGGATCGTCGGTTGCCGTCCGCCGCTGCATCGGCCGTGAATCGCTGCCCAGCTTTCCTCAAAAAGAAAAACTGTTGCTTCCCAGAAACTGGAAAATGTTGGAACAATTTTTGGCGTCAAAACACGCGCAATCGATGCCCCAGGGACCACCAAAAAATTGGATGCGATAGCACGGTATGCCGGAGTGGTATCTTCAGAAAAGCATGGGGAGGGGAGCGGGTGTTGCATTCACATTTCCCGCTGGCTAGGGTTAAAGGGAATGCTCCACATTTGAAGACATTGAGGCAAGCATGAAATGCTATGAAATAAGCCCAATCATTTCATCGCATCTCATTGCATCATCTCTGATTTCATCGCAACTATTTGCATACCTTTGAATAGAGAAGACTGTTCTAGAGAGCACAATTTCTCTATGTAATAGATATGCTCCTCAATACGTCATTGCTTGACTGAGTCATCGCCCTTGCACAACATTGATTGAGAACCATTCGACGGCCCTTATACCTGAAAATCATGCTAACGAACGCCAGACATGAACAACACGACAGTTATATTATCATTGGCCTTGATCGCCGCATGACCAATGGAATGGCAAAATTTGAATGACGTTATCATGGCGTCATGGATGCCTGGGTTACCTTTAAACAGTCTGCACGAAATAGTCAGCACATTTACGCGGGCGTGTAGTTCAGAAACTAAAAAGGGTTTAGGTGTTAAGAAGGGCAGGGCCATGAGCTGCATTGAATGATCTCCAAGACGACTATTTCAGTTCAGAACGTTATACAGATCTGGAACATTTCCCTTTAATACACGTTCGTATGTGATTGATCATATCCAGCTGGTGTAGATGCGTGCGATCTACCACGGGCCGATCGAGGAACGTCGTGGAGCGTGAGTTTCTGGGCAACGCCTGCTAACAGAGCTGAGCCAAGTGACTTATCGAAGCAATAGGGTCTTGCTGGCGAGTGTTATCGGCAACTGCCATAAATAAAATAAATGAACATAGCAATCTAAATGATGAGCTTCCCAGTTCACTTTCTTCGGACGCCAGAGATCGCCGGTAAACTTCTGAGACGTTCTATTTTTGCAACAGACGTAATTTCTGCCTATGGATAGAATCTTATGCCATTTCTAGCCCGTCTTTCCTCCCCCGCCTCCTCCCCAGAAGCGCACGGTGTTTTGAGAACTGCAAATCAAAGGGCAAAGACACTCGCTAAATGACTATTCCTGCATCCGTCATTGATACAACAAAGCTAAGGGACATTACCTATCAATTTACATCGTTTTTAGTCCGAAGCGTCGCTCTGCTCCAACTGATAGCTCATATCTTGTAAGTTTTACCCCGCCGTGTTCATGCCTAAGTGCACCATCGCAACATATTCAAAACACATGCACCGAAACAATTCATATGCTGGTGGTTTTTCAGACCTCGAACAGCGTGATCAGCCCAGCAAATTTTGTGATGTGAGGAGGTCGAAATGACACCGGCGTAAAATTCACCCCAAAATTCACCTCATGAATTCGGTGATATGCCCAATAAGGCTGCACCAGAGCTAGAATGAGTTGTACCGGATATGGCAGTAATGCACGCTCTGCGCACGGTTTACTGGCATGACTTTCTGTGAGACAAGCGGAGGCATCACGGGTATGGCAGGTGTTAGCTTCTTGTTTCTCACTGCAGTCCCCCAACCGAGCGCGACCCGGGCGTGAAGCCGCCGAGAAGTTAACGTGCTGTGATCCGCCGAGTACGTGCGCGGTACGCCGTGATCTGCCGAGTACGTGCGCGGTACGCCGTGATCCGCCGAGTACCTGCGCGATACGCTGTGATCCGCCGAGTACCTGCGCGGTACGCCGTGATCTGCCGAGTACTTGCACGGCAGTACGCCGTGATCCGCTGAGTACGTGCGCGGTACGGGTACACCATCAGCTTTTTTCCATGCTAGTCGAAATTTGCGCATCTGATCCAAATACAAATCACGATATTTACAAAGTTTGTGGAGCCCTGGTCATATTGCATGCGATGCAAGTTATGATGAGATTTCTCAAGAGTCTTGCTCCACAGAAATCCGTTTAAAACTGCGGACATTTCAACTAAATCGTAGAATGCGTAAGCACAACATAATAATGCCCAGAGCGTCTCAAAATAATACAACTGGGTCTCTTCCACCTGTGGGGCTCAGATACAGCGGAGACGGAAAGGAGATATACATGCAATGACTTTGATAAATTGGTGTTAGGCTGATGAGCATTCCATGCAAATAAGCACCTTAAAGTCTAGCATATACGCCAAACTTTGATCCCCAGTTTGGTTTTCTTGTCACCAGCACCGCCAGAGGATACTTTTGGGGCGGCGTGGAACGCGGATATCCATCAATGAAATGTTCCGCTTGTAGTCGTAAACATTCAACATGGTTGCGGAAAGAGCCGTAATGAGGGTGCTTGACCAGCAATGGCGATCATAAACGGCCTGACGTGTCCGGAGAGCGACTGACAGAGGTTCCAACCAGCTGACTCCAGTGCCTTCTGAGCACCCACGCAAAGAACGCGAGAGCGTCACACAACCGCCATGAGAGGCGGGCCTGCAGTTTGGAAAACCGGTTTCTTCGCACATATCTGACTATGTGAATGCACTGTCGGCAACAGGGGGGACGGTCCGGGTAGTCATACAGTCACACGAGAGGTGCCGTCGTCAGGCAGGCATGCTGTTCACGAGACGATGGCAAGTATGACATGCAACGGGATGAGCAAATCAATGCACGCATATCGTATACATGCGTTAACGTACACATCCTATCTCATGCCAGCGTTTGGCCCACATATGTACATGTTTCTACGTCGATATTTTTCGTGGAATAGCAATTTCTATAAAAGCTGCCAGGCTGGCAAGTATATTTACCCCTCCGTAGAACTCCATTTTCTTGGCCAAGCTTCCCAACCGCCGTCTCCAGGCACCTAGACGCGGGCTGAGATTACAGCGCACCTCCAGCCCACCTTCACCTTGACGATGCCCGGAACTGTGCGCCGCCGCTGCCGCCGCCGACCTGTTTTATCGCGTCCACGTGACTCGGGCGCGCGTCACGTGACCAGAATTCCCAAGCGTGCGCAAGCGTCGCCGGGCCCCGGTGCGGCGGCGATGACGGGGCTTTTGGAGGCGCAGCCGGGTCCTCCCGAGGTCCGCGTCCTCTCCAAACACTTCACCGTGGCGGGACACACGCGTCGCTGTCTCGCTTGGAGACGACGTGTCGCTCCTCCAGCTCTGCACAAGTGCCCGTCTGCAAGCGGGTACCAGCACAAGCTACCAGCCGCGCTATCCATGCTGGTCCACTGCCAGGCACGTGAACAAAAATTTTCTCAAGGTGGGTGAATGCAAAATTCTCCCCAAGTCCTGCGAACTTCTTCCAAATTCCTCCGAAATTAGCTGTAACTGTAGGCCTTAAGTTCTCCAATGCACGCTGCACCAGCCCAACGTCTGACAGGAGGTAAGGCTCCAATATGCCAACAGCGTGCGCCGCATAGACAAGTGCTAAATCTTTCCAGTTTTTCCCGCCGTGCACACAGCAACCCCTCACCCAACTTAACTCCGGCCAGCGCAGCAACCGGCCCCCCATCACCCCATCTCCCGGGCAGTCCGGGCCCGGCCGTGACGGCGACAGGCGTTATCTCGCGCTGGCCGTGCAGGAGACAGCCAAACGCGGCGCGGCCCGGTCCTCCCCGGTGATGGAAAGTACGGCTCGGGCGGTATAATATCCAGATCCGGCATCCCAGATCACGGTGTCAAACTTGCCGGAGGCTATCAGGAGCCGGCCGGTTCTTGGATGGTGCTGACGGTGATTGCTGCGAGTTGGTATGATGTCATCAGTTCAGCCGGCTGTCGCGGCTTACAATGTAGCTGACGGAAACGAGGTCACTGGATTTGCATTGGGCGCATAAGTGTTTGAAAGAGCCATGTATGGCAAAATGTACCACGCGTATTTTTCAGTATCATTTCCATCGCGGTTTCACGGCCTTAACCTGACCACGGACGCCCACTGATGTGTCGTATCGCAGGGGGAAACTGGAGAAAGCTGCGTGCTGCACAGCAAACCCAAGCAAACGCGCGGCAAGTCGATCGGGGCTCATAATCTGGTGCGTTCCGTGCACTGGATACGCTACCGGATGTGGTTCCAAAAGCACGCCAACAGGTAGGTCTAATCTGCCCCCTACCAACGGGAGCGACACAATAGCCGAGGTCAGAAAACAAAAGGCTGGAATCAGTCTCGTGCCGCGCGTTCTCCACGAGGTCTTCGCGACCGGGGCGTCCGGCCGCATTGAGGGCCGGCTGCAGGGTCACAGCAGGGCGCCTGACGACTGGGAATTCCAGACCACACCGCGGACCCGCTGCTAGCGGCGCCCACCAAAGCCCTGCACGTCCTGAGCGGGGCGCAGCAACAGGCATCGCCGACAGCTTTCAGGAGCCCCGACACCCACCATCAACAGATCAGCGTCCCGCAGCCGGCGCATGACGGCAGCACAGCATCCCTCTGCGACAATGTCGCTTGAAGTTTGCTGCACGCTGTGACATCAATAGAGCAGCCGTCTCCCCGAGGCAGTGTCGCTTGAAGCTTGCTACACGCTGTGACATCAGTAGAGCTGTCGTCTCTCCGCGGTAGTGTCGCTTGAAGCTTGCTGCACGCCGTGACATCAATAGAGCAGCCGTCTCTCCGCGGTAGTGTCGCTTGAAGCTTGCTACACGCTGTGACATCAGTAGAGCTGCCGTCTCTCAGCGGTAGTGTCGCTTGAAGCTTGTTGCGCGCAGTGTATTTAGCTGAGATTTAGTGGAGCGCTACAGATAAAAAAAACACCGTTTGAAAATGCTGACAACATCCTACACTGGCCATCGGCCAAGATGACCTTATCAATTCTGTCTTAACAACCGGTGACGCTAAGCCGATAAGAGCCTGCTGAGCCTGCTGGAACCAGGAGACCAAGCTGGCGAGAGCTAGAATTGGCGTGGTTACTAGTGCGGGGTACTGACGGACACCCGCTCTCACTGGTCAATGGGTCAGGGTCGTATTTAGCAAGAGGCCTCGTTTGCTAGGCCCGATTCCTGCCACTCACGTGTGATTCACGCTACTGGGAACGGCGTGAACCGCTGATATTCGGCCAAGGTAGTCCGTTTGTCAGTATTGCTGACACCGCTTCAGAAATGACGAAACGAAGCAGCGGAAGGCACGTGCGTGGTGGTGTAAAAATGAGCTGCAAAGCCGGCAGTGAGGATTCGACAGGATTTCCGCTGGTGATGTCATACGGTTCATCTGCTATCGCCAAACTGCCCCCAAAATAAAAAACCGGGTTTGGCATTCACCGCGTTTTGCACACAAACATCAATATGATGAAATATACGTTCCATTCCCTTCGTTGCGTCATTTGAAACAGCGCATGAAGTAGTCAATTCATTTCTTAATATGCCAAGCTCGTAAATAATGTTTACGGCCTTGCAGTCCCTGGCGCATGGATATAAGCCGCAAGTGATCTAAATCCGTAATTGTGTATCTACTTAGATACATTATGTTGGATCTAGAGCGGCATGATTCACCGTGCATCTGGGTGTTGAGCCGATCTCAACCGCGAGTGCGTCAGACTTGAGTACAGCTTTTCGTCGTGACAATTTGAAGCCGCATGTGCCAATACGCAAGCCCACGTCCCAACGCTAACCGCAATAAAAAAAAACCCATTCAGGCCGGAACCAGGCCCCATAACCACTGATTGCTTGTCGATGCGGTGGGGTGGGGGGGGGGGGGGCAGGTAGGGGTGGGGGTGGGGCCTTGCAACCGGTACCTACGCCGTGCATTTACGAGTCCTGATGTTTACGCTCGAAGTGACTAACAGGGCCCTTGGACCGCCGGTTTTCCGGCACTGTTCAGTGGTGAAAACACGACGATTAGCGTTGACAATCTCTGCGCAGGTTACAGACCCTACGCCATCTCTAAAAAATAAGATCAATATTTTTGTCTATCAATGGCACTAGCGCCACGTAACCGTCCCTCCATCGTCTCTCAGCGGTGCGCACACACCTCACAAACAGGAGTGGCCGAAGTGTTCACTGAAACGGCCGAGAAACTGTAATAGTTTTATTTGTAATATAGCCATAGGACAAGTTAACACCTATCGTTTGTCAGGACGACTCGTTGTGCGCAAGGAACAGTATACTCGATATCAGGGGTGAAAGTTACCAACTGGCACATGGATGATACCAAAAGCTAAGCTGGTAGAACAAAACACCTTTGGCGGTCAACATCAATAGGGTTGATTGATGCCTTGGGAAGTCCGCCTTTTTGGTAGCTGAACAAGCGGGGCATTGTAACGTAGCATTTGCGTGGTAATCTACGAACGACATCGCTCGATAACTGGCGATGATGGGTCTGCTCACTGCCGCCAATCTTAACCTGCGAAATCGATGAACTTACAAAGACTTACACTTTTGGGTAAGTTTGGCCAAAGCATTTAAAAAACGGAACTATTTTGATTGATTATCAGTGTCAACAGAAGGGTTTGCGCACCCATGTAGTCTCCATGGCACAATATCTCCTGGTTTAGATTGCACTGTATTGTGTTTGAGATCGGTTTCGGAAAGGGCGATATCAGCTGTTTTCCGGTCGATAATTTTTGCCGCATCTAGGGTTTGACAGCTGTGGAATCCGTTGGTGAAATGAGATCGAAATCTTAATTTCGTGACCGAGATTTTTGAGAAAAAATAATAATTGGGAAAAGCGGAGACGGCATATTAATTCCCAGTTGGCAAACTTAATGGAAGTGGACGGATGCGCACATTTGCGGGTTCTTTGGCAGAACTGTGCTCTGCATGCAGATCAAGGCTCTTAAATTGTTTTTAAAGGGAAGCAAATACAGTGTCACTCAGCCTAACCTTTCGAGGAAGTTTTCTCAGGGTCTCCACACCTTGAGAAATGCCAAAAGCTTTAACTTTGTTTGTTGTAGTCAGCATATTTGCATACCGTACATGGCTCGTTTCTCGTCTTTGTCTGCTATGGTTGCTGAAATGTGACTGCATAAACCGTGGACACGCTGCAGAATGGTTGAGCTCATGGTTTGCACAAGTGAACACGTGACCTGCTCACGTCGATCAGCATCTTTGCCAAAATATCTTTTTGTTTCTTTACCGCCAGAATTGTTACTCTCCCAGCCGCTATGTCCCCGCCGCATTGCCTAGTGATCTACTGGTACTTTCTCTGCGCAAAGAAGTGTTTTATTTTGTATGCTTCGTTTAAAAAGACGTATTCATAATTGAACTTGACAATACAATTTATGCATTAGATTTTGTTAAAAAGACCAAGTGTGGCTTCACTTTCCGGCATCGCTATTCACTATGATATGTATTGAATAACTAGCGTTGATATCCTGGTTCATGCATCTCATGCGGTATGAACACAAAGATTTAAAAAGACTGCAAGATACCTACATTTCAATAGATACAAACTTGAAAACGACGGCTGAATGGAGACAGTTGCATGGGTAAAACTCATTAGTACTATATTGTTTCCCAACACGAAACAACTGCAAAGTATGACCATTACCAGAGCTTTGGCTCGCGTGCAACATAACTCACGATTGAAACAAATACAGATGGGCTGCAAAAAGCCGCCTTGCACGCTGGCAGTGTACGCCGTGACTGGATAGGCTTTCATGCGGTTCGCGTGCGGTGAGCCGACACTTAGCTGTGGTAAGTCAGCATCCACCACAAACAGGCCGGCGACGATGCATCGGTTTCTACGTGGTGCTGGGGATGACATCCCGCTCAGGTGTAACTGCGTTCGTCGTCTACTCCCTCGCTCAGGTGTAACTGCGTTCGTTAGCTACTCCTTCGCTTAGATTTAACCACATTCGTCGTCTGCTCCTCCGCTCAGGTGTAGCTACGTTCGTCGTCTGTTTCTCCGCTCAGGTGTAACTGCGTTCGTCGTCTGCTCCTTCGCTCAGGTGTAACTGCGTCCGTCGTCTGCTATTCCGCTCAG